TAATATATATATATATANATATATATATATAAAGTANAGAGAGAGAGATAATGATCTTATGAGGACCCTCCTACACCCACTGTATGTAGGCCCTTAAGGATCACCATTAAATTTGACACAGATCTCTAGAAAAATTATCATATGGGAATGATACTTGACTTTTTTAGAGATCTGTGCCAAATTTAATGGTGATCTTTTGGGGTGCTATACACATGGGTGTGGGAGGGTCTCATAGGATCAATACTCATATATATATTATATTTAAGAAAATTTTATAAAGTATAAACAAAGAAAAAATATTCCAATGGGCACAGGATGCCAACATTTAGGAAATGAAAATCCAACCTTTTTTCTTGTAAAATAATTTGCTGGTTATTCTAGAGTGGATTCCAAAATGTCAGCTTATGAAAATCCTCTTAAGCATATATTTTGCCCAACATAATATCTAATCATGTGCTCCATGTAGAGTAGCGCAGATATGGTTGTTACTTGTTTTTGTAATCCACCATCAATGCGGGTGCCCTAATCAACCGCAACAAAAGAAAAAAAGGAGAAATTTAACAAGAAAGCTCTCAAGATATTAAAGAAAGTAGTTGAGCTAGAATATCCGTTGTTTTGATAAATGGTAATATATTAAATAGCTGATGATATTTCGGGTGTTTTTTACAAACTAGAAAACTGGTATTTAGTTTTGGGCACGTATACTAAGCTCCTACAAGTGTATGTTGTGTGTGTACTCCCTCAATCAAATTACCTACTTGGAATTTTTTCAGTTATAAATTTTGGGAACCATCTGAGAGTCAAAGATTTGAATTTTGAATTTTTTTGACATGGAGATCTCACCGTCATTGTTCAATCTTGAGATGTTATCTTTTTTTCTATTACATGAAAAGTGCAGTTCAATCGTATCTTTTTATTTATTTTATTTTATTTTTATAACAGAGGTTTGTTACCATATATATTAGTTTATACAGGAGTAAACACCGATCCCAAATAGATGGGATAAAACTTGGATGATGATGATGACTCAAAAGAATAAATAGTCACTATACTCTTACATAAATATAAAACCTTTAGGTGTATCTTTTTTGGATAATTGAGTGGGGACGATATGTTTTATCCGGATTTTAAAAATAGGTTAAGAGTTAGATCTTTTCGAAGTGTTAGTGATGTTTTATCCGGATTTTAAAAATAGGTTAAGAGTTAGATCTTTTCGAAGTGTTAGTGAGATTGTATTAGTAGTGGGAGTGAAAATCGCAACATCCCCATTAAAGTGTGGGATCCTTAACTTTACTTTTTACTATGAGAATATCACAATGGCCCTTCGCCATTAAATGTAGAAACGTACTACTAGGGACGACACAAATACCGGCTGGTTTAAAATCTGAGAGCCAAAAGGCATTGTGTTCCAATTGCTAAATGCTGTGATGGCCCCGCGGGCGTCGGATGTCTCCTATAAATATCGAACAGAACAGGTCGGTGATCAGCAAAAGTATGTGGTCCAAATTTCCACTTTTAAATCGCGCATCAAACGGGTGGGGTTTGTAGAGAGCCAAGGCTATAAACAATCAAAGTAAATTGATACTTTAAAATAGTATAAAAATATAGTTTTAATATTGAAAATCTTTGTGATAGTTTTAAAATATATTTTTATATTTAATTATAAAATTTAAAGCTTAATCTGTAGATTAAACTATAAAAACTTAAAAATCTTGAAAATTGATGATCTAAAAAAAATATCATAATATGTACTACTTCCCGCATTTGAAATCCATTTTTTTCTTTTTCATGTTCATGCAATCTTAATATCCAGATGATCAATTTGAGGATATTTGACAATGAAAAGAACTCTTCTAGTTAAATTTTCAAAGGGGGTTCTAATTGGATTGTTTAGAGCCCCAAACGGAAAAGCAGTTACTCCTCATAGACCGGCACGTACAACATTTTCCACGTGCACCGAGCGAACCTACTCCCGACATGTCTCCGACTGCGAGAGCTGTCCAGTGCCTCCGTACGCCAGTGCGACGCGGGTCCCACACGCGGAGCAAACGTATTTATGATCCTTCCTGCGTGGTCCCACTTCCACCCTTCAGACTCGGCATCCGACTTACCGGAGCTCCTCTCCTGACACCGTGTCCTCTGAATGACGTCACCATTCCTTTGCACGTGTGAAAAGAAACTACGCGCAAACGAAGAAAGGGCGACGAGCTATTCGCGTTTGTTTCGTCGGGAGTCGAGGAGACATACTTCAGAACTCTCTCCCTCCTCTCTCTCTCTCTCTCTCTCTCGGCTGTGGAACTTTCAGCAACTCGTTCAGGTTCTCTTTCTCTCTCATCTGAAGCTTGATATTATCTCTTCAGTTTTGTTTCTCTCTCTTCTGTTTTGATGGCTAAGCTCTCTATCCATGTATCTGTGTTGTATTTTACCTATCTATCATTTGATTATTGTTTGTGTGCTCTGTTTCGGATTTTGAATGTTAGATCCATTTTGGTAACTTATAAGGATTGTTGACGATATCCATCAATTTAGTAAACTTTGTGGTGGTAGATGCACCTAGGGTTTTTTGATTGGAATATGCGTCTGTGTGAATTGAGGAATTGGTTTATTTGATGTCATTAGTTGCTAAATTTTGAGATTTTTAGGGTTTCTTCATCTGTGTGTTTCCGCTCTCTGGAGTCTGGGACTTCTGCTTTAGTGTGGAGAGTTTTTGTCTTGCGCTCGAAACCTCTGCTAATTTGGGGTTTTAGGGTTTACTGTTGTATGGGTTGCTGCTATATTGATTTCTCTCAGCTCAACTGCCTGTAATAAGTTCAATTCCCATGCTTCTGTACTTTTGGTTTTGATTGATCCTCTGTTCTTTTGCTCTTGATCTCTTTTGCATTTGTATCCAGTTCGACTTTATCTGTGTTTTGGCAATATGGAGCATAAGTTTTTGTTCTGGAGAGAAATTGAGTTTAGTTTTGCTCTTTAGGTGCTATGTTTTTGGCCCTATGGGTAATTAGTCATGGGAATTGGATTTACTTTTATCCAGAAATTTCTGAGATTTATCAAGTTTCTGCTCCTTTTGCTTGGTTTCTTGGTGGTCGTTTAATTTGTAACATTATGGAAACACATGAGGGAAGAATGATTTTCACTTTGGTTGCTGTTGTGTCACTGTGATTCTCATGATTATCTTTGTATGGAGGCTGTCAATCTAAGTTATCTCTTTTCTTATCTAGAATATCTAGAATGTCCAATTGGGTTGAATATGAACTACACTGGTATTCACGTATATTTATCAGAGTTCAATTACACAGCTCAGGCTTGTGCTCAAGACCCTGAAAATGGAAAAATTAATATAATTTAAAAATTAAAGTGAGAAAAAAATTTGATAACATGCAACAAAAGCTTACCAATGGTGTGCGAAATGAGGCTTCAGATCCTTTATGCTAGGTGTTAATGCGAAATGAGGCTTCAGATCCTTTATGCTAGGTGTTAATGCAGCCCCAATAAAAAGTCGAAACCAATTTTGCACTCTTGACTTTGGATCTAGGAGATCCGAGTCTTTCAAAGTTTGGGAGGAATAGTATCCAAAATTCAACAATATAAAGTCATTTTTTGTATCTATGGAAAAAATAGCATCCGGTTGGACCAAGAGCACAAAGTTAGTTCTAGGGTTTGATTTTCGTTAAAGATCTACCATCTATTTTGAAATATATTTTTTTTTAAATCAGGCTAAAACTTGCCTAGTTTTCAATCTAGTACGAAATTATTGAAATCTAGCAATGTTTTTTGGAATTTAAGGCTTCTAATAGCTTTATCTAGTGAAATCTAGCTTAGGTTTCATGGATCAGAAGTTAGGGTTTTTGGGCTCCAGCGAGTGAGAAAAATCAAACAAGGGGGGCAGATTTCCACCCCATTTTATTTCTGATTCAGCGTATAGTACTCAGGAAAGTCCTGTAATGGCTCCCCTGAAAACTGTAGAACTTAGGTGAGTCTGCCCGAGTCCTACAATACTAGGGTGAGTTTGTACAATACTCACCCAAGTACTGTACAGGTATTCCACCAGTGAAAAATCAAAGAAGGGGGGCAGATTTCCACCCCATTTTTATTTTCTGATTCAGCATATAGTACTCAGGCAAGTCCTGTAGTGACTCCCCTGAAAGCTGTAGAACTTAAGTGAGTCTGCCCGAGTCCTACAATGCTAGGGAGAGTTTGTGCAATACTCACCCAAGTACTGTACAGGTATTCCACCAGTGTAATGACGTACCTTATACGTACGTTGGCAGGGTGCCGAGGCAAAATTAACTCTGCCAAGTTCAAATTGACTCGCCGATTCTTTGAGCACTGATATTTGTTGATGCATATTGTGCTTTTACCTCTCATCGCAAGTGTCTTTCCCAAAGCTATGTTATTATAAATCATGCAGTGATTCTTATATATAAGCAGTTGGAAAGTTACCCAGCAAAATAAAAAGGAAAAAGCTTGGGATAATTCATATACTTCATTAGTTCTTGGTTACCTATCTCATACAGGTTAATGAGATGTTAATGTTCAATTTGAGCACAAGGAAAGTATGTTTCTTTTTAACTCTTTCTTAATATAAGGGTCCTTGCAGGCTGATGGCCATTCCTTGGAGGTTATAGCTCGAAATGATAATATGATGTATTGAAATTTATATCAGTATTCATTTTTTGTCTATTTCCTCATGGTAACATGCCCCTTGCTGACTCATTTAGGAACCTAAAGAGCTGATGCCTGATCGGAAAGGTTTTTGATGTTCATTCTCTCTTATCTTGGAGAAGATGTCCACTTTCAAGGTATGCTTCTATTCGTATTAAATGAATGACTTTGGATGTAGATGCCTGTACAGTGCTTTTATAGATCCATGGATCTTCCTGTTATTGTGGCAAAATTACTATACTCTATGGAACTCGGTTTCCCTACATATTTGTCCATTAGACCGTTTAATCATGATTCTTCTTTTCGGTATTTTTGATGTGTTTTTGGTTCATTGCATGTGCACATCCCTTAGGCCTAAGTTCACATTGCTTGTAATAGAATGTAATAGGCAAATGTATTAGGAAACGGAGAATGGGAGGGTAGAATATGCTTTTTAGAAAATAAATAAAAAGAAGGAACCCTGATAATTTCTGCAAACAAATGGGAAACAAACTTGGGAATAAGACTGGATAAAACATGTTGGAAACCACATTAAGAAATGCATAAGAAATGCAAAGTGCATCTTTGCAGATGCTCCTTCCCAATGTCATAGAAAAATTCTTTCTTGTGGGGGTAAATCCCCATGAGAATATGTTTTATTTATATACTTATTTATTTTGATTAATATAACTTGAGAATATGATTGGACACAAAAGATCAAATGTTTGATCTATCTGTCATTACTGACCTTCCATTCTCCTCAATTGACAGCAGTTAAGCTAGTAGTGATGGCTTTCAGACAGGTAAATGATGCATATCTTTCTGACGAGTAAATGATGTATATCTTTCTGACGAGTAAATGATGCCTATCTTTCTGACGGGTAAATGATGCCTACTCCAAGCCATTAACTTCATGCGACAGCTCCCAATGTGATGGGCAGCTGATATGTACAACAAGAAATTACACCCCTTGTTTGGAAATTTCAAATGTAATGGAACAGCCCCAATGCACTTTGTTTGATCATTAAAGATAGCATATTATGGTACTTGTCTTATCATTGTTAAAAGGAAGTGGTGATTAGTGATTATTGAGTTCCCTAAAACAGTTGTCTAGATAATTTCATCAGAAATAGTTGAAGTCATGCATTATTGTGTGCTGACTGCTGACACTTGACTTTGATACCTGAGCTTGTTTATGCCCAACTATCCCCAGATATTGTAGATTGAAACAAGTGCAAAATTTTAAATAATTACATTACATTACATACGGTGTGATCCACACCAGTAGCAAAATGGACTAGAGAAAAAAGAATTAATAATCTAAGATATGTGTAGTACAACTCTTAAGGAATAATGGTAAAAAATCATTACATGACCAGCTTAATCATCATGATAGGCATTGGTGGCCACCATGAATTAATATAAATCATGATAACGATTTGATAGATGATGAAGATGAGTTGGTTAACACTGAGTAGGTACATGGATTTCTATAGAGCTAAGATATTGGTTTGGATCTGTAATGATTGCCAGAGTAGTGGACTAGATTAGGAGCCTGATTGCAAGATTAAGAAGTAGATGTACTTTTGGCTATTGGTAGTGAGTTGTGATGATTTGCTAGGTCTCGACTCAGAGTGGGGTGCTGATTACGAGGTAGCCTAGGAGTAGATTTGTATGTATGTCATTAAGTGTTTCTTTTGACCGTTAGTATGTCATGAGGCGTTCAATATTGGTTACAAATGATATTTGTGTGACATTGGTAGATAGTGTTATAACTAGGAGAGTATTTTCAAGATCTGGACTTGTACACTTCGACAGTTCAACCATATTTATGTTTATCTGACGTTGTTGTGACCTATTGGAGGAAACTTCGTCCTTTTATTGATATTCATTCTTTTATGGACGAATGACTGTTCATAATTTTATTTTAGATTATTTTCTACATCTGTTTATCTATCACTATGATTACACATTTTAGTTGTAAGGGAAGAAAATGATTCCTTTAATAGTGTAAATTTATTTGTTTATCCATGTGTTATGGGGTAATATTGCATAATAGATTTGGAATTGACTTCGGGAACCTTTGCGATGGTCTTGCTTCTAAAGCCAGCACGTTGTTAGTGATTCCTGGGCAGTTACATAGTGGTCTTGAACTGTTGTGGATTGTAGGGGTTTCAGAACATAGTTCTATATTTTCCATGTTCCCTTTTTGTGTAGGGTTTTACAGCCATATATAAAATGTATACATGTGTCCTGGGTCTTATAACCTTTAGGAAAATAACTTCCAGAAATTCCAGCACAGATTTCTTCATTTCTCAGGGACTGAAGTTCTCGCCTTGGTATTAGAGCAGCTTCCTGCTTAAGACTCAAAACCATCTCCTATTGGAGAGTACTAGCATAGCATATGATGTTGTTTGTCTTTCCGTGGGTTGGATTCTTCCTGCACATCTAGATATTTTAGTTGGAGTTTCTGGTTGGGATGGGCAATACTTGTTGTGCTTTGCCATGAGTTTTATTTATTTATTTATAACATTGCAACCATAGTTACCGGAATCTCTGCGATTCCGGTTCCGAAACCCGTTTCCACGTTTCCGTTAAGGAAACTCCACGTAAACCCTTTTTTTGAACCAACGAAACTTGATTCCTTTATTTTGGAATCTCGATTCCGTACCTAGGTGGAAACCTTTTTTTTGCAACATAGGAAACTTGATTCTTTAATTTCAGAATCTCGATTCCTCACATATGTGGAAACCTATTTTTGGAACCAAGGAGACTCGATTTGTTAATTTCAGAATCTTGATTCAACACTTCTTTTAAGAATATTTTTCGGAACCAAGGAAACTCGATTCCTTAGTTTTGGAATCTCGATTCCTTATTTTTGGAATCTCGATCCAGTAGATCTAGAGAAACTTGAACCCCCTAATTGTGGGTAGACGCTCCCAAATAGATTGAATCTGACTTCTAGCGAGGTTTAAATCTTGATTCCTTGTTAAATGAATGATACACGATTCTACAAATAATGGAACTCATGTCGTCAGGATTTTGAATCATCTGTACCATATAAAACATTGGTTTCTTGTAAATAATAACCACAAAAGTAATGTTTTATTTTCTAGTGGATATCATGTTTTGAGGTCCCAAACGATAGCATTAGGCAGCATGTGTACCGAAGGGAATTTAATGAGATTATGTTGCTTTTTTAGTTATCTTTATAGTGTTTCTTATATTTGCGTTAATGTAAATTGCTATAGTTTTTTGCTCATAGTTATGTGAATTGCTTAAGTGAATTTGCACCCCTTCTCGCCTTGCAACATTGCTTAGTACTGTACTACCGATTGCAAAATGGTTATTAGTAATGTTATTTTTACTCTTTTTTTCCTGATTTAAATGCTTATAGAATAATGTTCCTTATATTTGCGGTGATGTAAATTGCCTTGGTTTCTTAATCTTACTCATATGTTATGTGAAATTATTGAAATGCCCATAGGATAATGTTTCTTATATTTGCGGTGATGTAAACTGCCTTGGTTTCTTAATCTTGCTCATATGTTATCTGAAAAGACTGCTTAAGTGATCTTACACCGTGTGTAGCCTTACAACATTGCTTAGTATTGAAATACTGAATCTAAAGTGGTTATTAATAATGCTAATTTTATTTATGCTCCTCTAATTTAAATTCCTATAAAATATTGAAATCATTTAATAACATATAAAGCAACACATATGGACTGACGATTCTACACAACAACATATCTATGTACCACATATGTCAGAAACTCGAATCAAGTGATGTCAGAGACTCGATTCTGCTATTGTAATTCTCGATCTCAAATCAGCATGGATCTCTTATCCATATATTTCAGAAACTTGATTCCAAACATGTTAGAAACACAATTCCATTGATGGAAACTCGATTCCGAATATGTTAGAATCACGATTCCATAAATGATGGAAACTCGATTCTGCATATGTCGGAAACTCGATTCCGCATATGTCTGAAACTCGATTCCATAGATGACGGAAACTCGATTCCGCATATTCATGAAACTTGACACTTGGAGTGTCGAACCCAGTGGGATGGGAATCTCGATTTCTAGGAGGCCGGAATCTCGGTTTCATATGTGGATGAAACTTGGACCTATTCCGATCGATACTCGATTCCTGAAAATTAGGAATCTCATTCCCAGTGATTCCTAATGTACAGACAATGATTCCTACAATGGGAAACTTCTGACCAGGCGCGATTCCGGTTCCTCAAACTATTCGGGTTCCCAAGCATTTTCAACAACTATGATTGCAACACCAAAAGCTGCTGAATATTGCAATAAACAAAGCCATCTCAAAGCAAACAGCTCAAGCCAAATGCAATCCTATATTGTCCCTAGCACAAAAATCACAATATATTGGTTACAAACCAAACTTGCGGGCTTAATTCGACAATACAACTTAAGATAGGATGAAATTTCCCATCCATTTTGTTCAAAATGTATCTCGGGTTTTGTGTATAACTTACCTTCGTCATCGCTAATCAATTTGCATGTATTGTTTTTCTAATCGTATAATTTGCATATTCTAAGTCTTAACACCCCAAACATACAAGACACATCGAAGCTGACGATCTTTTTTATGGTGAGAAAGTGATTTTTGAGATCTTATGTATTCTTCATGTGAGAAGCGTAGTTAAATTTGCAGACACATTTACGAAGGCCTTTGGAAAAACAAGGGCTACATGACATCATGGACAAATTGGGCATTATTGATATCGATGCACCTTGATGGAGCTAAATGTTAGATACTGCTATAATGACAGTATGCATCTTATTTCCAACATTATTATCATCAAAGATTATATTATTGCACTTGTTATTGTAAAGTATGTTATAACGCAGGTCTATCATTTACTACTTGGTTACAAGAGAACGTATGAATATGATATATGCTTCATTTGTAGCTGACATACTACAACAAAAGGTGGTGAAGTTGCAGCAGCGCATGTTGAGCTTTCTTCTGCAACTTGCCTAATATTTCATCATTCATGGAAAGACGAATGATGAATCTACTCATTGACTTTTTGAGCAAAAGAAATCTAGGTTGGTGGATGGAGAGATTAAATATTTAGTGATGATTTGTAGAGGGGTTATGAGAGAAATCCCAGTGAGTTAGCTGGTAATTGCCTAGGTCCACTCAACCCACAATGTTGTCCGCCTAAACACTTGCATCACAAACACCTGCTCGAGTATTTTAGGTTCTTGTTTTGAGGTGGTTGACCTGCTGACTGCTTTTGGGCATTTTAGGTGTATTCTTTTGTACCTCGTGCAGTTTTGACACCATAAGCCCATGCAGAGACACATTATATTTGGATTTGTCATATATCTCCCCAGTCTCTCTGGACACGGATTGTTGAGTTGGAGTCCTGGTATCTAGAACCTTGAGAGAAAGAAAAGTTCTCAATGATGCTTTCAACTCTGGAGAAGATATTTACTAATGCCATGTGCATCATGAGATCTTGTAAATCGTCTCTCTTTTGGGAGTGCATTTGTTGTTGCAATTATGCAATGGAAAAAGTTTATATAAGGTTGACACCTCAAATTGTAGAAATGCGGTGCACCTCAAAAATCCATCTGAAAAGGCTATTTTGATGTTGGACAACCATCTAATTGATCATCTCGGCATTGAGATGCATGGATATTAGAAAAAAGAAAAAGATTTCAAGTTCAAAGAATAGTACATCTCGCAACACATTATCTAGACCATCCATTTTCAAGATTTTCATGCGTTTATAGATCTACTTGATTTGAACCACTTTTGGAGTTTAAAATTGTATGATTAGATATGACAATAGATTCTCGTGGCTTCCTAAAACTTTTGACACGAAAATTGCATCTTATGACAAAGTTTATCGGTGCACCTTCCTTTGATTGTTTAAGGTTACCACCTTATGTAATTCTCAACTTGGTAGAAACAAGAATATGTTAAGAGTCTCATAGGGACTTTATTTCTTCCTAAAGAGTATGGTTTTTATCCTCTTATACATCATGTTGATTCACAGTTCACTATTAGTTTGTAGGCTCATGACTTACTGGGGATCTGATCAACCACTTAGTCAACTCAAATCATTACTTAGGCAAGTCCACAATTCAGTCACACAGACTGTGAATTTAGGGATTAAAAAGATATCTTGTTATCATGAACAGTTTGAAAGGATTGCTAACATCTTCTATAAAAATCAGGGAAAATCAATTCAAATATTGAAAGAAATACTCATGCCATATTCCATGTCTCTAAGAATGAAAGAAACCAGTTTGAGCATTTGTCAGTTTTCTTTTTCCAAAATCTGATCAAAACTCTGTTCTTATTGCTCTTGAGAAGGTAATGACTACTTCCACTTGGTAATGGGGGTCATTTATTCCAATTTCCTTGCATTTGCAGGACGTGGTGAATTCAGAAGCCACTTAAATACTTAGGTCACTGCACAATACCTATCAAAAAACAAGGAAAAAGCTAAAAAGGGGAGAGCAGAGGTTACCACTGGAGTTTTTTTAGATAATGCAGTAGATAATAAATTATTTTCTCTCATAATATTGGGTACTTGAGTGCTAGTCAAGAGTGCTTTTGCTTTTGCGTTAAGAGATTCACTAATCTCCATGGGCCCAACAAATTTATTTAGTACTTTATATTGAAAATTGCAAGTAGTCTTTCCACTCTGAAAGCTCTGGGGTCCTTGAAGGTAGTACCATCAAAGTTAAGCTTCAGGTATCATTCTGTAGTTTATCTCAAGCTATTCTCCACTCTTGAATCAGAATGTTTATAGTTCGATTAATTCGTCCAGTACAAGTGCCCATTAGTTTGCTTTATATCTAAATGGAGAGAGGACGAATATAGGAGGTTGCAAAGAATTAAATACAACTTTCTTTTTACTAATCAATTTTATTTCTTTACTGTCAGAGATTGACAGGTATTGATCATAAAACTTGCAATATGGGAACTAAAGCTAAGTGGTTTCCAAGTTGGAAGTTTTTAGTTTTTGTAAAATCTTCTTTAATATCATTTGACTCCCATTTTCTCTTGGTTCTCTTGATGTGAAAATAAAAATGACAATTATCCTGTAGTTTATTGCTGCTGGCTTCCTAGAAATGGATTGCTCTCATCCTTTTCTTTTATTTTCTCCACATTTTGATTTGTTATGTGAATCGTATATAGTCCCCATCAAGTATGGAGTCCTCTTTATTGCATGTTTATGGTGAAATGATCTTGAAATTTAGAATGTGACAGTGAACTAATTGGTTGTATTGGTATTATTGCAGATTTAAACCTATTAATGGTACGTGTTCTGGCTTGCTGATTGACTTCTTTTCTCTTGAGCAATAGAAAGAGGAGGTGGCTATGTCAGCACTATACCTCTTGGTCAATCTTATTTACAAAATTGAAAATATTACTCAGGCATTTAACTTAAGAATCTACCTCGACTGAGATGAAAATGGACTTGCCAGCTTTTCTAGTGTCGACTATTCTTTTTATCCAGCTGGAGAAAGATTTCACTAGCAAGATTACAATCAATACAACTGGGGAATGTTCAACTTTTGGTGGTGTCATAATTGCCACCGCAAATCACTGATTGCCTCGGGCAGTTCACTAAGTTGGGTGAGTCAACAGTACTTTGATAATTGGCTTCAAGAAGCTCAGAGGTACAACTTAAATGGAAATGACAGTTTGACCATATTATTAGATACGTTGAGAAAGCTGCATGTGGACCAGGAGAATTCAAAAGGAACTTATCTGATGCTTGGGACAAGGTTCTGAATAATGAATATGGATGGAGAAACACAGGACCTTAGCAAGAGCTCAAATTCTCGTGACCATGAGCAAAGATGTACTCTTGAATCAAGATCATCACCAGGAGTGAAGTCTTCAGATTGTGTAAATTCCAGAAGTCCATTAAAAGAGGGTGCCCATGTAGAAGGTGAGACAAGTGGTTCCAAAGCCCATCATCTTTCCAATCACTTGGAACCAGTGAATGATGTGAATGTTTCATTTCGTATTAAAGGAACCTTAAAGACAGCTTCAGATAAGGAAAATGCAAAAGGTTCTCCCTTAGAGGCACACCATCATGGCTCTATTTCTGAGGAAGTCATGGACAACAAATGCCGATGCCTTACAGATACAGATTTACCTCTGGGTACCTCGGAAAGAACTGCTTCCACAATTAAATGCAGGTCTTTAGAAAATCGAACTGCTCTTAATCATGAAAAGGCTTCAGAAAATCCTGAAGTGAAAGAGCAGGATGATAAGAAGCTTGTTACACCATTAGCTCCTAATGTTGCCGCTCAAAAGGACTTAATTGAAGCTGATTCATGTGATGTTGATGTGAAAGTGAAGGAGAAAATGGTCTGCAAACATCTTGAGGATTCTCATATTTCAGAGGAAAAAAACTTGAACAAGGGTGTTGATGATGGGTCACCAAATTACTGGAAAAAAGTAATGGAGCAGAGACCTGAGAATCAGATTGGTGAGCCTTTGGGTTCCAAGTCCATCCAATATGCAACTGGGACCTTGCTTGGAAAACAAGAAATCTCAGGTTCTATATCAGAAGATGATGGAAGTTTTAGAACAGAAGATGGAAGGAACACTTTTCCTTGTAAATTGGATATGAAAATCAAGCGTGAAGGCTCCATGACCTCAGTTGAGAAGGTCAATGATTCTAAAGTGAATCTGGAAAAGAAAAATGAAAATTTCCTTAAGAGTAGTGCAGATATGGAGTTCGCATATGCAGTTGACGATGCTCTGGAGGTGGCTCGGCAGGTGGCAAAAGAAGTGGAGGAGGAAGTCGGTATTTATAGAGAGGCACTTTGTAGCTCTTCCTGTGATAAGGACATGAACATTGAAACCACTGTGAGCACCGCTGATTCCATAGAAGCTGAGAAACATTCAATGGTTACTGGGGATGAGCAGGAGCAAATCACTCAAGACAGTTCTGAATCTTCTGATGATGAGATGGGCTCCAAGAGGGCATCTGGATGTGAAGGGTTGATTTCAGAGAGGAAAGATGTAATACGAGAGGAGAAATGTTCTTCAATGATGAAAAATGAGGACAGGCTATGTGAACAGGAATCATCTCAATTGACAACCATGGCACAAGAATCAGCCACCAATGATCCCCGACATCTCTGCGGTTTTGATTTAAATGAAGAAGCTGATTACCCAGATCAATCAATGGCGGTGACTGTTTCTTCTAGCTATGTTAATAACTTGACTGCACCAATCCCTGTGGTGGGTTTTCTAAGAGGGCCTGTTTCCTTACCTGTAACTCCATTGCACTTCGAAGGCAAGCAAAGCTGGATAGGATCTGCAGCAACTAGTGCATTTCGTCCAGCCTCACTTCGAAGGACACCTGATAAAGACAGTGCATGTTCTGTTGAGGAGAGCAACTCTAACCTGAAGCATTCTCAACGTTCCCTCTGTATTGACCTTAATGTTGCCGATTCTTGTGATGATACAGCTATGGATTTGTTATCACAAAAGGAGGTCCCCATCTCATCTGGTCATCCTTCTGGAGACTCTTCAATTGAGGTCAGTTCGAGAAGGGCAGAGAAGCTCAATTTGGACCTTAATCGTCTAAGTGAGCAAGATGATAACTGCAAAGATCTCTTATCTGATTGGAGGATGGAAAGCCGATTACCGCAGCTTAGAAATGGGGTCTGTAGCCCTTCACCTACATCATCGTCGAGGCCTTGTGTGAGGGATTTTGATTTGAATGATAACCCATCATCCCATAGTGAGGTGCATGATCGTCAAGCACCTCAAGGAACTGGTGGAAAAAGTGGGATTTCCAATGTTTCTGTTGTTTCCATCATGGGAACGAGAGTTGAAGTTAATTGTAATAATGCTCCATCGGCTCCTGCACCTAGGGTTGATCCAAGCACGATGCAAAACTTTAGTGGCAGTCAGTATGGACCAGAATTCATGAATCAGTCATTTTTGTTGTCTGGGCCTGCTCTCTCAATGGCACAAGTGGGGAGAGTGCTACCTATTCAGGCAACTCTTGCTTATACAGGGCCACCTGCTTTTGCTTACAATGGTATGGGACTTGGCCACACAATTCCTCTACCTTCCTCCATGTATGCATCAGGTGGTGTGCCTTACATGGTGGACTCTCGTGGGGCTACAGTTGTTCCCCAAATCATGGGACCTGGCAGTCTTTCCTTTCAAAGAGCTTCCCCATATGTCATGGGAGTTGCCAGTGCATCAGCCGTGAATGGTATTGGCATTTCATCAAGGCCCAACCTTGACCTGAATAACTCAATGGTGGAAGAGCAGATGAAGTCGTTTCAGCAGGTTGCTTCATCTGGGTCTGTTCCTCCCATGAAGAGGAAAGAGCCAGAATGTGGGTGGGATTCTTACCAATTCGCCTACAAACATAATACATCATGGCGCTAGATTATTGAGGCTACAGTATAAATTACTCTATGACCTTTTGTATCTGGGCTACTTTTGTCTCCATTCAAGTTTGAACTTTTTACATTCTTTTCAGGGGCCTGACCTGCTGAATTGAAACCAAGAGTGGAAACCTGATATGGGTTTTCCAAGCATGCCATTTCACACCCTTGTAATTTCTCTTTTGACAACATCATCTTCATCAGCCTCCCCACTGCGCTAGTTCACTTTATTGGAACTAAATGACTGCCCATCCGCTGGTTCGCAATTCGTAGTTTGTGTGAAATAATTATTACCTTTTCGGTTCGTCATGAAACCTATATCCTTCCATTTTTTTTGGTCACTGTGCAATGTAGACCTATGCAAGGGGGGTCTCCTGATTAGTATTGTACATGTTATTTTTCAAATCATATTGCTCTAACAAATGTAATTCCTATAAATCTACTATGAACGTGGTCATTTTCTTACTACTATTGAGCTACTCTTGGAGTTGTGTGCATAAGCCATCCTACCAGAACATTGATCAAATATGTGCATGTATTTGTCTGTTAGCTCTCTCCCGAGAAAGATACATTTTTGTAGTGGTGTTAGAAAAGTCAACTGCAATGCGAAAACTCTCTCTTTTATATATATATATTGGTTATTCTAGTATGCATTGTACTTGTGGTAGGTTTAGAATTTAGTACTTTAAATTTTTTTATTATAAAATACCTGAAATTAAAATTCAGTACTTCTAAATCTTTTACTATAAAATACCCTTACACAGTTAAAAATGACTTTTTATATATATATTTCATGTACTTTGGAAAGGGTATATGATCTTTTTAAAATCCGGTAAAACTCAATTGCAATTTCAAATTCAAAAAAATTCTCTATTTTGAATGAAGGACCTCAAAAGTTTCAAGTTAGCGATTGATAACATGCTATTTGAATATTTGTAAGGCCGTTTGATGTCAAAAATTTCGAAGTATTAAATTTTAAATTCTCTACCAAAATAAATTTTTATTTTTTAACGTTGTTAATCTAATGATAATAAAGTTCTGTGAAAAATTTGGAAAGAAAAAAGATTCTTTTAAAGCTTAGATCTAAGCATCTCAAGAAAATGGACGGTCTTTGTTAATTGAGCTAAAAAAACACTTTCTAAGTTGTGTTTTCAAAAAAAAAATTTTGTGATTGATCAATAGAGTGACAAGAGTGTATATTTAAAATTTCAGTAAAAAAAAATGCCCCTAACTTGGTTTTTGAAGTTCATTATATTACGATACAACTGTTGCATGAAATCACTTCAAATATAGGGCAAAGATTTCATGCAATGGTTGCATCATAGTATAATGTAACAACACTTCTAGAAAACCATTTTGTGGTATTTTTATGACCCAAAATTTTGCACACATACTCTTTTCATCTCAATAATCAATCCCTCTCAAAAAATAAAATTCAATTTGAACCTTAGATACGGTCAAAATAAGTCTTCTAACAACGAATCTAGACCATCCATTTGGGGAATTTCAAGATTTTAGCCTTTACAAACTCAAATTCATTTTTTTTATTTCGTAACATTGTTCATCTAATAATAATAAAGCCATCTAAAAAAATTGGAAAAGAAAAAATCCTTATCAAAGCCTAGATCTAAGCATCTTATCAAAATAGATGGTCGGGCTAAGAAAATACTTTCAGGTTTTATTTTCAAATTTTTATTTCTTATAATTGTTCATTAGAATGAAAATAGTGTATATTTCAAAATTTGGATCAAACAAATGGCCTTAAACACTACGCAACGCCTATGAGCAAAAATGAACAATGTTTTCGCTCATAGGCTCATCACCGTTCGAAAAATAGGCGACGTGCGTTTTTCGATCGCCACGGACATAACATGTCTGTGGTGGTACCGTCATAGACATACTAGGTCCATGGTGGCCAAAAAATCATGTGGAACTGCAGCGGATGGCAAGGGTTCGTTCAATAAACCACCATGGACATAACAAGTCCGTGGCGGTGGCGAAACACTGTAGTATGAACCACTACTATATATATATATATATATATGGGTGTGGTTTCTATAAGGTTCCAACCTTAAACAATCCAATGAAATCTTTCTTTATTTAGAGATGGAAGTAGTTTAAATAGGACAGACTTCTGTGATTCTTGTATAGGGGCTGGTATTAACATATTTTCGATTCTTAGTGTTTGTTTTCCTATAGATTGCGTGCATAAATTAGTATAATTATTTTGTTCTATAATGTGGGGGATTAATTATATTCTATGTACTATTTCACCAGTGGTCATTTTATATGGAGTAGCCTTTGTTTCTAAAGTGGGTGCATTATCTGATTCTTTTCCTTTTATAATAAGGCTTTTTTCTGGAGGATGTACATTAGTGATTTTATTTCCTTCTAAGATATTATAAGTATTGTATTGGTTTTCTAGAGTATGTATTTCAAACTTAGGTACAAAAACTCCCCTTTCTGCTAATATTTCTCTTAACCATATAAAGAATCCTTTATTTTGTTTTTCTGTTTTCACAAATTTATTATATCTTTTATGAAATAGTTCTAATAGTCTCGGTTCAAAAGTAGTAAGATACCAATCCTTAATTTGTTTATTATCATCAGATAGATAATCTGCTTCTATAAATTTTTTATCTATTTTTCTTTCTTCTTGCAGGGTTAATATTTGGAAATCCATCTCAGAGTCAGAGAATTCTGGGTCACCTTTAGGTTCAGTTTGTATCTTTTTATATTGAGGTATTACTATATTCTCTCTTGTTCTTATTACTCCTTGTATTTTTGGATTAATGGATGAAGTGGAAGTTCTAGAAGGTTCTATATTTATTTTAGATTGTTTTATCTCAAAATCATCTTTACGACTTGAGCTAGTTTTGTTAGTGAATAAAATTTCTACATTCGCATCTACATGTTCTATTATCTTATTTGGAATATTTTGAGAGGGTACCTGGAACTGTTTATTTTCATTGTGTATAGACCATGATTCTGATAATACTATTTCTGACCATTCTATTGACTTTGGTATAATAGTATTAGATTTTTCTATATTTGTTTGGAAAAAAGTGGTTTTTCCCCTAGTATCCATTTGTATAACTTTTGAACATAAAGTATCCATTACTTTATAATATATTCTATATATTATGGCAATGTTTTGTGATCCTGGAATAACATTTAAAATATTAGGATCTTTTAATGATACTGAATAATTGGAAAAACAGTTAAAATATGTTGGCCCACTACATAAACTAGATTCTACCATTCCTAACAATGAGTTTGAGAATTTATTATGCCTAGTATCTCTTAGACATACTAATATTGAATTATTTAATCCTAACCTTGTTAAAGGTTTGATAGCTACTTGTATTAATCCTATGTGTAAATAGTTATAATTTTTATCTTTATGGTTTTGTATTATTTTATATGATAAAAGTTGAAAGTTTTCTTGACTACTGGTAACTGATAAAGTTTGTTCTACTGTTTTAATGGCATAACCAACTTTGAGATTAAAAGTTCCTAATTCATATATATCTGATATAGGTACCTTAGGTATATTCCAGTTTTGTATTTGTTTTTCTATATTATCAATTACAATTTCTTCTTTATTTTTTATTCTCAGAGTATTACTAGCATGAGGTAATGTTTTATTTGACAGATTCCTGAGGAAATTTTCCATTATTAGGTTGCGGATGAGTGCTTTTTAACTACCTCTTACGTCTTTCTTGACCTCAGCAGCTCTCCTGGCTTTAACGGTCTCTTAAACTGGGTGTTTTTAGCCTCAACTCTCGGTCAAACTTTCTCTAATGGATAATTTAATTAGGTTTCTATTTATAAAACACTATCCTTAGTCTAATAATTATTTTGTTGGATATTATTTATAAAGATTTCTGTTTATACTTTAGGAGAATTATTAGCAGAAATATGTGCAGAAGGATTAGCCTTATGCACAGACATGAAATTAAATAAACAATTAGAAAAACAAAGAATGACTGGTAGGAAAGAACTTGGAGTTTTTTGTGAACAGTTTGGATATAATATTGACAAATCTAAAGAGAAAATTCTTAAAAAGAAAAAATATAAATATGAGAAAAAGAAAGAAAACCATATAAAAAATATAAAAGAGAACATTTATGAAAAATTTTTCACCAAAACAAAAATATAAAAAAGGAAAGAAAAAATTACTTGTATGCTATAAGTGTCGTAAAGTAGGTCATTATAAAAATAATTGTAAAGTTAAAAAGAAACTAGATGCAATAATTTTAGATGAAGATCTTAGAAATAAAATATATGATATCGTACAAATATATAATGATAGTTCTGAAAATAGTTCTACAGATAGTTCTAGTGATATGTCATTAATAGGAAATATTGAAGACGAGAACCTTATATGGAATAGTATAGAAAAATCTGATAAAGAAATGCAAGAATGCCCTTGCAACATGTTATCTATAGAAGATAATTTAATATTAGATCTAATAGAAAAAATAGTAGATCCTAATGAAAAAAGAGAAATTATAACCCAATTTATTAATATAACAAAAGCAAAAAATAAAACCCCTCCATTAATAAAACCTCCTAATGAGTATAATTTTGCAGAAATTATGAAAAGAATAAGTAAAAAAGATGTATTACAGAAAGAACCAACAATTTCAGAATTAAAGAAAGAAGTAAATGAAGTTAAATCAGAAGTCCAACAATTGAAAAATAGAATTCAAATACTAGAATTACAGAATGAAGTTACAGGAAGCATAACAGATACGGATGAAATAGAATTTATTCATCTAATAGACAATCATAGATCTGTAATACCAGATGAACCTAAGCCATCTGGAACAAAAATAGAGGATTTAGACGACAACAAATCGGTCAATTTAATGAATAAAATAATTACACAAAAATGGTTTGTTCTAATCAAAATAGTTATAAAAGAAGAATATAGTTTCCAATCTTTAGCATTAATAGATTCAAGAGCAGATTTAAACTATAGAAATGAAGGTCTAGTACCCACTAAGTACTTTCACAAAACAACTCAAATATTAAACACTGCTGATGGTAGCAGATTATTCATAAATTATAAACTATCTGATGCTATAGTTTGCAATAATGGATTTTGTTTCCATAGGTAAAAGGTCTAAGCCAAGCAGTAATACTCGGTGTCCCATTTCTTATTTTACTTTATCCTTTAAATATCAATAATACAGGAATAGAAACAACAAGAGATGGCCATGTAATAAAATTTGAATTTATTGATAAACCAAAAATTAAAGAAATAAATAGAGTAAAAGATAGCATTAAACAAAAAGAAAATTTTCTTTGCTCTTTAAAAATAGAAATTAAATATAAAATCATAGAAGAAGAATTACAAAAACCTGAAATAATAGAGAAAATTAATTCAATTAAAAAACAAATAGAAGGAAAAATCTGTAGCGAAATACCTAATGCATTTTGGGAAAGAAGAAAACATATAGTTAGTTTACCATATGAACCTGGATTTAGTGAAAATAAAATTCCTACTAAAGCTA